CAAATCATGTGAACTAAAGACAAAGTAGTAACGATGGCAAAACCAGCTACTTTCTGTTATGTACTTACTACGTGCCAGGCACTGGGCTAAGCGCTTCCCGTCATTATCTCAGTCCTCTGACGTCTACTGCTACCGCTTCCAGTTTGCTGATGAGGACACTGAGGCCTAGACAGGCTGTGCATGGCGGATACTGTTCATTGTCCACCTAGTGTCCACTCGCCCTTCCTCCTTGCAGAATACTGTTTTGTTTTTGTTTTTCAGGGAGGCGATGTGGTTAGCCCTAGAAAACAGTGATTTGCCTAAGTCACCATGACAACAGTGTTCTTTCCCAAACTTGCTTCCCTTTCAGGTAGAAGGGGCCAAGTGTCCCAGTTCTGACCAACAAGACCTAATAAGTATGCTGGAGATTGCTAGGGAACGTCTTCCCTCTGGTAAAGGACAGATGTAGCCAGGGGTAATTTTCTCCCTTTTCTCTCAAGTGGCAGCCTGAGAACTGGAACCACAGAATGAACTAAAAATTCTTATAAAGTCTCTGTTACCAAACTGTTAAACTCAATGAAGCAATTATGGATCTCCAGACTTTTTAAATATGAGAAACATAAAAATCTACTTAAGTCAAAATAGCTGAGAATTCTGTTATTCATAGCTAAAGTAATCATGACACAGGATTTTCAGAAAATGAGTATGTGAAAGTTTTTATGTCAATGCAAAATTTTACATAAGAAAAGCAATAAGAAGTTACTTGTTTGCCTTCTTTATACTAATAATTAAAATAGTGTAAATCTAGAAAGTAAATGAATCCAAGTTCTTGTGTTCAAGAATTAGCAATATACACAAGAAAATATTCATAAATTAATATAGTGTTGGATTATATAAGGGCTGTGATGATTTAGAATGAAAGAACACACAAGGATATATAGGATTTAAATCAGAAAAGTAAAGGTATCCAAGGGTAACTCAGGACAAGACTAAAGCCACTAGATGTTACATAATAGAAAATAAAAGTAGGAATGAGGGAGTTGTATGTATGAAGCAAACAAGCATTGATATATTTGCTTGCTAGAACAAAAGTTGAAAAAAAATGAAATAGTTACAAAGAGGTAAGAAGTATGGACGGCTTTGAAGGAGCCCCAGAGGAATTCAGGTTTATTTACAACGGCAAATTCATTTAGGAAATGTGGAATCAGTACGGGAATTTACAGAACATCATATGTTGGAATAGTTTTTGAATAAATTTATCTTTGCAGAAACTAAAGACCGATGGTCCAGCCAGAATGATGCAAATGGGGTGAAACTAAAAGTGGTAATTAATGTGGTGAAAGATTGCAGGCCTTGGGGTAACCAAATATGAAAGATGAAGGAGAAGGGTTAAAATTCCACCCAATTACCAGTCCAACAATTTAAAATTTCAACAAAAAACAATTTCTTTCTAAACAGCCTAAATGACTTAACAAACATGAAAACTCATGAATCTACTAGTGATTGACTGCACCATAAAATACGGGCAGTAGCTTCAAGTAATTAGGTAAACCCTTTCTTCCCCCTGGTTTCCAGTGAGCACCTGAGTGTGCCGTGACTTCAGAGCTGGAGGGCCTGCCAGCGTCCCTCTGTAACTCAGGCTACCCTGCAATGTGTCTCCATACCCAGTTAACACATAACAGCTGAAAAACAAAACTGCTGGCTGACCTTTATGCTTCAGCGTTTGGATACTTTACTTGTTGGTAAGGGATCAGAATTTTGATAGTTGTAGCAATAACAGGAAATGATCTATTAAAATCTGGACCTCCAGCTTATGACAAATGCCAGGGTAAAGGGGAGAGCTAGTTTCGGCATGAAGTCTACACTGGGGTCACTTCTAGGACCTCAGGGAAACTTATTTGTTCTCAATGTCAGAAAAGCAAAGGCCTAGTGGAAGAACATTCCTGCTGACCCATGAACTGCATCTGTAGAGAATTACAGCCACAGAGTAAGTAGGTAAAAAGACAAAGACCATAAATACCAGATTATCAATCATACAAGGTGCAAAAAACCACTTCCTGAAATAAAGTCACTCAGAAAAAGGCTTGATGGACAGGTAGAACACTTCTAAATTGGGCCAATTACAATTTTACTTGTGTTTGCAAAACAGCAAGCTGGTTCTATTTGCCAGAGAAGATGAGAGAAAACAAACAATGGTGGTGGAATAACCAACAAATGAAGCCAGGGTATTTATTTTCACATAAAACTGAAAAAAAAAAATCGATTTATAGTACCAAAAAATAATTATATAAAATTGGCACAGATTGTAGGCATTTTCTTAGATTTCTTCATTGTGGGAATTTTTCTAATTCATTAGCCTTAAGATGTCCTATATAATAGAGTGCATCATTATCACAGATAATTAATAAACGAGTCCCTGAGGCTTTCTTCATCCTCTCTCTCTCTCCAGGGCTTTCTGGATGCCAGTGTAAGGAAAGAGACTGGTTAAATGGTAGACCAAGTAGCACGGAAAGCTCCTTTGTAGAAGGCTAGTAAATGGCCTTAAACAGCAAGTTTCCAAACACCACACTCTAGGGAGCTGGAGCAGAAGTGGGGAGAGTCAGGACAAGTGGGCAAAAGAAGATAATCTTGGTTCAAAGACTCACAAAGCTAACATGGCCACATACAACCACAACTTCAAAGCATTATTTTCCCTAATGCTTTAACATAACCCATTTTGTAAATTTTGTCATTTTAAAAGGTAATTAATGAAATAAACTAATTACCTCAAATTCAATTAAAGATGACACATAAGCTAACATTTTATTAAGAATTTTAGAACAGCAGCAATTTTCTAAAGCACTAGAAACATCAACTATGTGATTCATAAAATTTTATTCTCATAAAAACTCATACTGTAGTTTATTAATCTGTAAAATTAGTAGTCATAAAGGATAAAAGAAGAGATGGCATGGTAGGTTTGCTATCTAAATGACTTTTCAGGATTTGCCTGTGTGTTAATCACTGCAAACTTTCAAATGAAAGTAATGTACAAAACATGACTAGATCCCAAACACACAAATCATCTATTTCAAATCAATTGTTACTCATATAAAAACAATAGTCTGGCTCCAAGAATGGGCTTGAAAAGCGAATAACTAGCTGGTATCACAGGTAGTCATTTCCAAAATCCCACCTCCTCAACACTGTCTTCTTTAGCTTCATCTACATCTTGCCAAGTAAGAATTAAATTCTCTCTTCTCCTTCTTTCTCCCATAAATCAATTAGAGATCTTAACATTCTAATTTTTTATTTGATTTGTAAAAAGATCTTTTACCTCCCCAAACTGGAAGCAACTGGAAAGCAAGATCCACATCAGATTTATCTTGGTTTTGTTCTTACATCTACTTCTATACCTATTATCTGTAAGCCTTTGTAAAGTTGTATATTTAATTAGTTTCAATGAATTGCTGTATTTTTTTTTTGTAAAGATTTATTTATTTATTCATACAGAACTGGGGTACAGGCCAGAGATGCGGAGGTGAGAGGATTCATCAGGGACAGAGTGGGGAGCAGAACAGGCAGATTGATGAAGTCCACTGCTGAGGGGAGCAGTGGGTGGGTCATGAGAGGTCTGCCTCGCCCTGTGGTCACCTCCGGGGCAGGCAGGGATCGAACTCATGCGGAAGTGGCTTAGGCTTTTTAGTGCTGTGCTTTAACCCGCTGCACCACCAGGGAAGGCCAAATTGCTGTATTTTAAAACTGCAGTTTTCTACAGTTTCAGTGACAGCATTTCCCCAAGTAATAAAGAGATACTGAAAATGACTTAAATTACTTTAGTGTGAAATTAAAATTTTAAAACTTGCAACTTCCCAAAAATGTATAAACTTGATTACCATTGAATCAATGAATTACTGTCATTAACAATTAAAATCACTTTTCAAACTTATTTTTTTATTCTTGGGTCCTATAAAGTAGGACATTTAACTACTGCAAATCTAGCATCTTTGGCTAATTCCTAATAAAACAGATAGAATAAGCTATTTTTAAATAAGCTCTGTTGAGGTAAAACAAGCATGCTCTACACTACACATATTTAATGTGTTTAACTTGATAAGCTGTGGCTTATGTGTACACCCAGACACAGGATAATGAGTATTTCTATTCCCTCCCAAAATGGTCCATCCAGACTTTTTGGTGGTCCTTTAGCTCACTTACCATTGTTCATTATTTCAGAAACAACAATATGAAAATAATAATAAAACGCTTTGTGAGACTCACAGGAAAAAGACCAGAGATTTTGTTAAGTGAAAAGTGAAAGCTTTTTTATAGTATCCATGTAAATTAGTTCTCTAAACACATTATTATTTTAAAATCTTTACTACTTAAGACTTCAGTCTATCCAGCAATCCAATAATCAGAGGAATCTTTCCTAAGCAAGAGGAAATCTGGGGAAGTTCGGTGCCCAAATAATCCACCTCCTTCAAAGTAATAGAGATGGGGGGGGTATGGAGGAATACAGTCAATCAATCATCTTAAATCATGGAAAGAAAACACATTTAAGCACTTTTAAGATGTAATGACTTCATATATTTTAAATATTTTCACAAAACACTATTTTTCATAGAAAGTTTCAGTGTCAGACACAAAGTTGAAACTAATTCTTCTATAGGAGCACTAGATTTAAGATAAACATCAGATTATACTGGCAATCTCTGACACACAATCAGGATATAAGGCTAAAAATATTTCATGGGAGTAATTATGACTCAGTGATCTATACTGTTGAAATGACAATGGCTGTCATCAGAAACCTAGCGCTAAGTTTATGTGGGCAGTGTTCCTTAATAAAAGAGCTGATATTAAAGCAGTAAGTTCCCTCTGGAGAGAAAAGGAAAAAAAAGGAGAAATGTGGCCTATTATCCTATAAGAAATCACCACCTGGTTAGTAAAATATGATGTATATCTTTAAATTTTCAGTTCAATTGATTTTCTTTTGATATGATGAAAAATTTAATTTTAAAATTTAAATTTTATTTTAATAATGCAATAGAGGTGAGCTTATTATTTGAAAAAGAAAATAAAGATAATAATCAGAACCAAAATTTATTTATCAAAGTTACAGTAACATACTTTGAAAAGCATACAAAATTGCAAAATAACTGATGTTTTTCCAGTAACAGATATAATATTTGCTGACAAGATAAAATAAAAATGTTAAAATGACGTTTGTTCAGTTTTAAAGTTATCTTATTGAACGATACATCATGAAATCAATAGTTGTGCATCTAGGAAATTTACCAATTGAGCTCTCTTCCACTGGTGTGTATATTTTAATCTGTCTCATGTGCGTGTCTCTTCCATTTTGGTGGTTAGCTAGAACAGCAATCTGTATCATGAATGTGCGAGTTGGCTTCTTATGATTATCAGTTAAGGGAACGTGAATCCAGCCACTTGGTTCCACCAATTCAAGTTGCTGCCAAGAAAAGAAAAGTCAGATTATGCATCACTCAATGAATGTAACCTATAATGATGAACGTATTCAAAAGGTTGGCTTTAAAGTAACACGTTTTCACTCAGAAATATGATTAATAGCCATTACCAGTTACTGAGTACTTTATTATGGTCCATTTTACAGCTGTTGAACACTTTATTAAGATGTACCATCTTAATAAACAAGGCAGAGGTGTATGTAGACTTAGTACTTACAGAAACCTGTATACAACATACAACCTTAGAATTAGATGTATATGAAATGTACACGACCATGGAAAAATCATCATGATACAAGCAGGAAAAGAATTTAGCACTGTATTTCTGGTCTATTTTATTTCAAAGACCACATTTAAAACATCCAAGCTATGTAACAATAAACCAGATTCTATATAAACTATAAAATTAATAAATAAAACTAGTCATTATGCTTCTGATGCTTACCAAAAGTTCTCTGCCTTGGTAAATAGTATGTATAATGATCTAAACCTAAAATCTTTATTTCTAATATTTTTCATAAGAAATGACAGATAAATTTTAAGTTTTAACTCTACTTTAATCAAGAGTCTAAACTGTCCTTTCTTACCAAGAGAAAGAAGATCTTAAGTCAAAAGAAAGATATAAATTTCTAAAACTTTTCCCAAAGCTATAACTATTAAGAGAATATTGATCCTTAACTACCTTAAGATAATCATCTTAATGATTATAATTAAGATATCAATTTCTTATATATTATAACTAAGAGAATTATCAAAAGAACTACTGGTCCCTCTTAGTAACACAGGCAAAAAGCAATGGTAAGAAAAAAACAAAATCTGAATTCCATGAATTGTCTAGAAAGCAACTCAGTGAACACACTGTATCTTCTTTTTCCTTTCCTCCCTCCCTCTTTACTACCTTTTTCTTTCTTCTTGTTTTCCTTTTCATATCTTTCTTACAGCTTATCTTTTTTTCTTCTTTATTCTTTCTGACATTATATGATTCTAATTAAAGATTTAAAGATGTGGTAAGCAAAATAATGGGCCCCTGAAAATGTCCATGTCTTCCTCCAAAACCCTACAAAGCAAAAGGAACTCTGCAAATGTGGTCAAGTTAAAAAGTAAAAGAAATGGATTACCAGAATCTTTTAAAAGGGAGTTATTTTTATAACTATATGATTTCCTCCTTTTAACTACAAATATAAAAATAAATGAATCTCTAACTCCTCAAGGTATTTTTAGTGACTTTTTATAAACTTCCATTAGCACTAATTTAACATGAGTGAGTCAGACACCAGATATATCTGGTTTCTATAAAATAACCTTTTATTCATTCAGGCAAGAAACAGTTATTAAGTGCTTAAAATGTTCAAGGTATTGTTCTAAGTATAGTTGAGCATACAGAGCATAATTCAGGCTTGTTCCTTATTTAAAAAAAATAAATACATTTAAATGGCAGAGAAACAATCTCTGGCTTCATTGTTTCTTCAAGCACAAGCTATAGTAGACTCTTGGCCACCACAGGTTTGAACTAGCAGGTTTACTTAAGAGCAGATTTCCTTGTAAACATAAAATAACATGTGGTATAAATAGATAAAATGTTGTAAATGTATTTTTCTTCCTTTGCTTTTCTTGTAACACTTTCTTTTTTCTAGCTCACTTCCTCACAAGAATACAATATACAATATGTGCTGATCAACTGTTACTGGTAAGGCTTCTTATCAATCAACAGCACACTAATGGTTTACTTAAAGGGGAGTCAATGCTCTACATGGATTTCCAATTGGGTGGAGGGGGGTCTGCACCCCCACTACCCCATCGCTCAAGAGTTAATTGTAAAGAGATTAGGTAAGTTCACATCCCATGTCCCTTCCAGCCCTGAAGCTGAATGACTCCAAATAAAAGACATGGTAGGCAGAACAGGGGGCCCCTGGCAGACGTCCATGTCTCCGCCAAACCCTCACAAGGCAAAAGGAAATTTGCAGATGTGATCAAGTTAAAGATCTTGAAATGGGAAGGTATCCTACATTAAGAGAGGGGGCAATGTAATCACAAAGGTCCTGATGAGGAAAGGCAGGAAGGACAGAGGAGGAGAGGCGATGGCAGGATGCAGGGTCTGAGCTACAGGACGCTACAGGACAACAGCCAAGGGCAGCGGCCAGCCTCTGTGTGCTGGAAAGGCAAGGACTCCCCTCTAGAATTTCCAGAAAAGAACGCATCCTGCTGACACACTGATTTAAATCTATAAGGTCTATGTTGAATTTCTGGCCTCCAGAACTGTAGGACAATAAATGTGTGTGGTTTTAAGCTGCCAAGTATGTGGTATTATTTAGAGCAGAAACAGGAAATTATTATAATAGATAAACATGGAGTTCAGAGACTGGGAAGCGCACTTCTGGGTGGAATGTCTATTTTCCAGGTAAATGTACAATAATGAATGTCAATGATGAGCAAAAAGTAAAAGTAAAATTCTAAATTCAACTCTTGTTCTAGATAAACTTAACCATTGCTTCTGACAGACTCAATCTCAAATTCACAGCATTTTTTATATGCTGCAGTGTACTGGAAGTCATTTAAGACTGGACTGGCTATATCTGGATCACAGGCTGGGCACACTAACTGAAAGAGAAGGTGAAAATGGAGTAAACTGTAAAAAACTTAGTTTTTTACAGAGGAAAGTGATCTCTGTTGGCAAGGAAAAAAGACAGAGAATCCTTATGGAGGCAAGAAGCAGTTTCAGCTGTTAGATTATTATTAATATCTTGTCATAGTTACTTTTCCCTTCTTCCATTCTGCTCTAATTAGCAGCAGTCATTTTATAAAGGTGTACAGTGCTTCTTAAAATTTTTTTCATCAGTATGTCGTTACCCTAAGACTAACCCAGGGCCCTTCCCATGGTTTCAAGGCTCCGCATGTCTGATCTCTGCTTACCTCTTCAGCCTCGGCTGGAATGGTCCTTCACCTACATTTTAGCCAGATAATCTACAAGTCAATCTGCACTGTGCAAGAAAGAAAATATCCCAAAGATTATGAGATGGCATATGTATGCTGCTTAATATGGGTCAAGGATCTTGAATGCACTCTTGCTCAGTGGTTATTTTTGTATTTGTAAAACATGAATTCTTGGTCTGAGACCTTGAGATCCTCAACTGTAATTTTCTTTATAAGCCTGAAGTTCAGAAACTACCCACTTCTTACCAGGATTTTGCTTGTGTTTTTATTTGTTATCAGAACCGAAATACTCACGGTTAATGATGTGAATGACTGTACTCAGCTCCTGGCTTCCCCTTTCCAATCGCCACATCCTTCCCCTAATGTTAGCTGCAGGTTCCAGTTAGGTTCAAGCCTTTTCTCTAATCTCTCTTGCCCAGAAAACGCACAAGTATAGAGACACATATACAGCGTTTTTACCCTCAAACCTGCCAAACAATAAAGCGTCAACACATCATCACTCCAATCCAGTAGTAAAATGTGCATTCATTCCACAAAGCCCTTACCACATACTGGGAATTCAAAACTGACCAGTGCAATGAGAGGAAATTAATTTGTTGAAAATTAATGCACTTTCTGTTCAGCAAATCTGTCTAATCACTCATTAACCTTTAAGCAACACCATTTTGATTAATTTACAAGTGTTCTGAAAAAGTTTAGGAAATAGTGGGCTTCCAAAACTCAGCCAAGACAGCTGAGACAGGGGTCCACGAAGCAGAGAGAACAGGGAAGGTGAACCAGAAGCAAGAGCATTCCATCTACTACTGCCTTCAAAACTGGAGGTGCACTGAAGTTCCAAGTAAGGCTGACAGGAGCCACCCAAAGGTAGGCGGTTCCCCCACAACTTTTTATAAGCCAAAATGGGGTAAACAAAGAAACAATCACTTTTACTTATACAGAAAAAACAAACAAACAAACAAACAAAAACCCCTGGGCATTCCCAGACCCAAAAGCTAACCTACCAAACCATGCCAAACGACACACAGAAACTACATTCACACTAGCACAGGCACAAACAGGCAACCACACAGCCCAAATGGAGCAGCTGCCGGGAAGGAGTTTGGGATGCTGCCGCCTCTAAAGCGGTTTTGAACACCATTCACGTTTTTCTTTTGTTATAAAAATGAAAATCCTCTCTGCATTTATTTCAAATTAGCAAAAACAGATACCAAAGTAGTTCCTTTTCCAACAAGAACGCTGGAAAAGAGGGCGGGGCACCGCGCCACACGTGGGAGCGCGAAGCTTCAAACAGGAAGTTAAATGACCTGCTTGCAAAGGAAGAAACCAGAAGAGGTACAAAATGAGAAAATCAGTGGCACAGTGCGGAAAATCACTGCTAAGGAATGTGAATTAAAAGAACAGAGAACACAGAGAGGAAAAGTATGAAGAAGCATAAGCGAAACCCCCAGAACTAAAGGGAAGGAGTCCCCCGTGCAGTGAAATCACCGAGCGTCCGCACCAGCAGGGAAGCCACGCACACAGAGCATGACCTCGTATGTCAGCATCAGACACGAAAAGCAGCATTGCATTTCTCAACATTTACACTGAAAACTGTGAGGCAATGGAGAATGTGCTTAAAATTCTGATGGAAACCTTTTTTCCCAACTAAAATTCCATACCCAGCCAAATCATCCCTCAAGGGTGATATTAAAATAAAGTTTTCAGTCCTGTCAGATTCCAATAATTTTACTTCCCCTGTGGAAGATGCATTCCACCGAGAAAGGAAGTAATCCAAGAAAGATGAAGACCTGGGATCTAGGAGACAAGGGATCTATCATGGAGAAGGTGAAAGGGAACTCCCAGGATGACGTTAAAGGGACACCCTAAGAAAACAGCTATTAGTCTGGATTCTCCCAGCAGACACCAGGATGTGAACAGACATACAAATAATTTATTAGAGGAAACATCTGTGGGGAAAAAATGGGGTGGGTGCCAGGGGAGCATGGAAGAGCTGTCAGACAGCAATGCAGGTCTGACCCCAGGGGAAGGAGACCAGGAAGGAAGGGAGGTTGGG